GTACAGTAGGCCGCATAGCTCAGTCGGTTAGAGCATCGTGCTAATAACGCGAGTGTCGACAGTTCGAGCCTGTCCATGGTCAATGCTTCCCGCGAGCCAGATAAAATAGTCTATTCTTTATGACAAGACTATTTAAAAAAATCAGCTTCTGACGAAAAATTTTCTGGAAAAAAAAACGCAGAAAAGCCAGTGTTTCTTCACAACGAATTTTAGAAGTCTATTTTTTGAAGAAGAAGACGTTTCGAAAAACCTCAAGTTAAAAAACGCAGTGAAGTTACAAGTGTCTCATTAAACGGATCATAAAATTGTGAAGTCCCCAGTACAGCAGGCCGCATAGCTCAATCGGTTAGAGCATCGTGCTAATAACGCGAGGGTCGACATTTCGAGACTGTCTGTGGCCAATGCTTTCTCGCGAGAGAAAGAATTGATTATATTTTTATGACACGACGAAAAAAAATTCATCTTCTGACGAAAAACTTTCTGCAAAACAAAACGCAGAAAAGCCAGAGTTTCTTCATAACGAATTTTAGAAGTCTTTTTTAAAGAAGAATACGTTTCGAAAAACCTTAGGTAAATAAACGCAGCGAAGTTACAAGTGTCTTATCAATAAGATCAAAAAAAAATGTGAATCCCAAGTAAATCAGGCCGCATAGCTCAGTCGGTTAGAGCATCGTGCTAATAACGCGAGGGTCGACAGTTCCAGCCTGTCTGTGGTCAATGCTTCTCGCGAGCCAAAAGAATGAGTCTATTCTTTATGTCACGACGATTTAAAAAAATTCAACTTCTGAAGAAAGATTTTCTGGAAAAAAACGCAGAAAAGCAGGAGTTTCTTCATAACGAATTTTAGAAGTCTTCTTGTTGAAGAAGACGTTTCGAAAAACATCAAAAAAAACTCAGAGAACTTACAAGTGTCTCTTTAATAAGATCATAGAGTTGTGAAGTCCCCAGTACAGCAGGCCGCATAGCTCAGTCGGTTAGAGCATCGTGCAAATAACGCGAGGGTCGACAGTTCGAGCCTCTCTGTGGCCAGTGCTTTCCGCGAAAGAAAGAATTGATTTTATTTTAATGACACGACGAGAAACAATTCAACTTCTGACAAAAAAATTTTTGGAAAATAAAACGCAGAAAAGCCAGAGTTTCTTCAAAACGCATTTTAGAAGTATTTTATTCGAAAAACCTCAAGTAAAAAACCGCAGAGAGGTTACAAGTGTCTCATCAATAAGATCATAAAGTTGTGTAGACCCCAGTACAGCAGGCCGCATAGCTCAGTCGGTTAGAGCATCGTGCTAATAACGCGAGGGTCGACATTTCGAGACTGTCTGTGGCCAATGCTTTCTCGCGAGAGAAAGAATTGATTATATTTTTATAAAAAAAACGCAGAAAAGCCAGTGTTTCTTCATAACGAATTTAAGAAGTCTATTTTTTGAAGAAGAAGACGTTTCGAAAAACCTCAAGTTAAAAAACGCAGAGAAGTTACAAGTGTCTCATCAACAGGATCATAAAATTGTGAAGTCCCCAGTACAGCAGGCCGCATAGCTCAGTCGGTTAGAGCATCGTGCTAATAACGCGAAGTTCGACATTTCGAGACTGTCTGTGGCCAATGCTTTCTCGCGAGAGAAAGAATTGATTATATTTTTCTGACACGACGAAAAAAAAATCAACTTCTGACGAAAAACTTTTTGCAAAACAAAACGCAGAAAAACCAGAATTTCATCATAACTAATTTTAGAAGTCTTTTTTTAAAGAAGAATACGTTTCGAAAAACCTTAGGTAAACAAACGCAGAGAAGTTACAAGTGTCTCATCAATAATATCAAAAAGTTGTGAAGACCCAAGTACAGCAGGCCGCATAGCTCAGTCGGTTAGCGCATCGTGCTAATAACGCGAGGGTCGACATTTCGAGACTGTCTGTGGCCAATGCTTTCTCGCGAGAGAAAGAATTGATTATATTTTTATGACACGACGAAAAAAAATTCAACTTCTGACGAAAAACTTTCTGCAAAACAAAACGCAGAAAAACCAGAGTTTCATCATAACGAGTTTTAGAAGTCTTTTTTTAAAGAAGAATACGTTTCGAAAAACCTTAGGTAAACAAACGCAGAGAAGTTACAAGTGTCTCATCAATAAGATCAAAAAATGTGAAGTCCCAAGTATATCAGGCCGCATAGCTCAGTCGGTTAGAGCATCGTGCTAATAACGCGAGGGTCGACAGTTCGAGCCTGTCTGTGGTCAATGCTTCTCGCGAGCCAAAGGAATGAGTCTATTCTTTATGTCACGACGATTTAAAAAAATCAACTTCTGAAGAAAGATTTTCTGGAAAAAAACGCAGACAAGCAGGAGTTTCTTCATAACGAATTTTAGAAGTCTTCTTCTTGAAGAAGACGTTTCGAAAAACATCAAAAAAAACTCAGAGAAGTTACAAGTGTCTCTTTAATAAGATCATAGAGTTGTGAAGTCCCCAGTCCAGCAGGCCGCATAGCTCAGTCGGTTAGAGCATCGTGCTAATAACGCGAGTGTCGACAGTTCGAGCCTGTCTATGGTCAATGCTTCCCGCGAGCCAGATAAAATAGTCTATTCTTTATGACAAGACTATTTAAAAAAAATCAGCTTCTGACGAAAAATTTTCTGGAAAAAAAACGCAGAAAAGCCTGTGTTTCTTCATAACGAATTTTAGAAGTCTATTTTTTGAAGAAGAAGACGTTTCGAAAAACCTCAAGTTAAAAAACGCAGAGAAGTTACAAGTGTCTCATCAATAAGATCAAAAAGTTGTAAAGACCCAAGTACAGCAGGCCGCATAGCTCAGTCGGTTAGAGCATTGTGCGAATAACGCGAGGGTCGACATTTCGAGACTGTCTGTGGCCAATGCTTTCTCGCGAGAGAAAGAATTGATTATATTTTTATGACACGACGAAAAAAAATTCAACTTCTGACTAAAAACTTTCTGCAAAACAAAACGCAGAAAAGCCAGAGTTTCACCATAACGAATTTTAGAAGTCTTTTTTTAAAGAAGAATACGTTTCGAAAAACCTTAGGTAAATAAACGCAGCGAAGTTACAAGTGTCTTATCAATAAGATCAAAAAAAAATGTGAAGTCCCAAGTACATCAGGCCACATAGCTCAGTCGGTTAGAGCATCATGCTAATAACGCGAGGGTCGACAGTTCGAGCCTGTCTGTGGTCAATGCTTCTCGCGAGCGAAAGGAATGAGTCTATTCTTTATGTCACGACGATTTAAAAAATTCAACTTCTGAAGAAAGATTTTCTGGAAAAAACGCAGAAAAGCAGGAGTTTCTTCATAACGAGTTTTAGAAGTAATTTTTTTGAAGAAGAAGACGTTTCGAAAAACCTCAAGTAAACAAACGCAGAGAGGTTACAAATGTCTCATCAATAAGATCATAAAGTTGTGAAGACCCTATTACATCAGGCTGCATAGCTCAGTCGGTTAGAGCATCGTGCTAATAACGCGAGGGTCGACAATTCGAGCCTGTCTGTGGTTAATTCTTCCAGCGAGCCAGATGATAAAGTCTATTCTTTCTGACACGACTATTTAAAAAAATTCAACTTCTGACAAAATAATTTCTGGAAAAAAACGCAGAAAAGCCTGAGTTTCTTCATAACGAATTTTAGAAGTCTTTTTCTGAAGAAGAATACGTTTCGAAAAACCTCAAGTAAAAAAACGCAGAGAAGTTACAAGTGTCTCATCAATAAGACCATAAAGTTACGAAGTCCCCATTACAACAGGCCGCATAGCTCTGTCGGTTAGAGCATCGTGCTAATAACCGGAGGGTCGACAGTTCGAGCCTGTCTGTGGTCAATGCTTCCCGCGAGCCAGATGATATAGTCTATTTTTTATGACACGACGATATAAAAAAATTCAACTTCTGACGAAAGAACTTCTGGAAAAAAACGCAGAAAAGCCAGAGTTTCTTCATAACGAATTATTGAAGTCTTTTTTTTAATGTGAAGACGTTTCAAAAAACCTCAAGTAAAAAAACGCAGAGAAGTTACAAGTGTCTAATCAAAAAGATAATTAAGTTGTGAAGTCCACAGTACATCAGGCCGCATAGCTTAATCGGTTAGAGCATCAGGCTAAAAACGCGAAGGTCGACAGTTCGAGACTGTCTGTGGTCAAGGTTTCCCTCGAGCCAGATGAAATAGTCTATTCTTTATGAAACGACGATTAAAAAAAATCAACTTCTGACGAAAAATTTTCTGAAAAAAAAAACGCAGAAAAGCCAGTGTTTCTTCATAACGAATTAAGAAGTCTTTTTTTTAAGAACAACACAATTGGAAAAACCTCAACTAAACAAACGCAGAGAAGTTACAAGTGTCTCATCAATAAGATCAAAAAGTTGTGAAGTCCTGAGTACAGTAGGCAGCATAGCTCAGTCGGTTAGAGCATCGTGCTAATAACGCGAGTGTCGACAGTTCGAGCCTGTCTGTGGTCAATGCTTCCCGCGAGCCAGATAAAATAGTCTATTTTTTATGACAAGACGATTTAAAAAATCAGCTTCTGACGAAAAATTTTCTGGAAAAAAAACGCAGAAAAGCCAGTGTTTCTTCATAACGAATTTTAGAAGTCTATTTTTTGAAGAAGACGTTTCGAAAAACCTCAAGTGAAAAAACGCAGAGAAGTTACAAGTGTCTCATCAACAGGATGATAAAGTTGTGAAGTCCCCGGTACAGCAGACCGCATAGCTCAGTCGGTTAGAGCATCGTGCTAATAACGCGAGGGTCGACATTTCGAGACTGTCTGTGCCCAATGCTTTCTCGCGAGAGAAAGAATTGATTATATTTTTATGACACGAAAAAAAATTCAACTTCTGACGAAAAACTTTCTGCAAAACAAAACGCAGAAAAGCCAGAGTTTCATCATAACGAATTTTAGAAGTTTTTTTTTAAAAAAAGAATACGTTTCGAAAAACCTTAGGTAAACAAACGCAGAGAAGTTACAAGTGTCTCATCAATAAGATCAAAAAGTTGTGAAGACCCAAGTACAGCAGGCCGCATAGTTCAGTCGGTTAGAGCATCGTGCTAATAACGCGAGGGTCGACAGTATGAGCCTGTCTGTGGCCAGTGCTTCCCGCGAGAGAAAGAATTGATTTTATTTTTATGACACGACGAGAGACAGCTCAACTTCTGACGAAAAACTTTTTGGAAAACAAAACGCAGAAAAGCCAGAGTTTCTTCATAACGAATTTTAGAAGTATTTTTTTTTGAAGAAGAAAACGTTTCGAAAAACCTCAAGTAAACAAACGCAGATAGGTTACAAGTGTATCATCAACAGGATCACAAAGTTGTGAAGTCCACGGTACAGCAGGCCGCATAGCTCAGTCGGTTAGAGCATCATGCTTATAACGCGAGGGTCGACATTTCGAGACTGTCTGTGGCCAATGCTTTCTCGCGAGAGAAAGAATTGATTATATTTTTATGACACGACGAAAAAAAATTCAACTTCTGACAAAAAACTTCTGCAAAACAAAATGCAGAAAAGCCAGAGTTTCTTCATAACGAATTTTAGAAGTTTTCTTTTTTTAAAGAAGAATACGTTTCGAAAAATTTTAGGTAAACAAACGCAGAGAAGTTACAAGTGTCTCATCAATAAGATCAAAAAGTTGTAAAGTCCCCAGTACATTAGGCCGCATAAATCGAGCATCGTGCTAATAACACGAGGGACGACAGTTCGAGCCTGTCTGTGGTCAATGCTTACCTTGAGCCTGATAAATTACTCTATTTTTTATGACACGACGATTTTAAAAAATTCAAATTCTGACGAAAAAGTTTCTGGAAAAAACGCAGAAAAGCAGAGTTTCTTCATAACGAATTTTAGAAGTATTTTTTTTGAAGAAGAAAACGTTTCGAAAAACCTCAAGTAAACAAACGCAGAGAGGTTACAAGTGTCTCATCAACAGGATAATAAAATTGTGAAGTCCTCAGTACAGCAGGCCGCATAGCTCAGTCGGTTAGAGCATCGTGCTGATAACGCGAGGGTCGACATTTCGAGACTGTCTGTGGCCAAGGCTTTCTCGCAAGAGAAAGAATTGATTATATTTTTATGACACGACGAAAAAAAATTCAACTTCTGACTAAAAACTTTCTGCAAAACAAAACGCAGAAAAGCCAGAGTTTCTTCATAACGAATTTTAGAAGTCTTTTTTTTTAAAGAAGAATACGTTTCGAAAAACCTTAGGTAAACAAATGCAGAGAAGTTACAAGTGTCTCATCAATAAGATCAAAAAGTTGTGAAGTCCCCAGTACATTAGGTCGCATAAATCAGTCCCTTAGAGCATCGTGCTAATAACGCGAGGGTCGACGGTTCGAGCCTGTCTGGGGTCAATGCTTCCCGCGAGCCAAAGAAATCAGTCTATTCTTTATGTCACGACGATTTAAAAAGTTCAACTTATGAAGAAAGACTTTCTGGAAAAAAAATGCAGAAAAGCCAGAGTTTATTCAGAACGAGTTTTCGAACTCTTTTTTGAAGAAGAGGTTTCGAAAAACCTCGAATAAATAAACTCAGAGAAGTTATAAGTTTCTCATCCATAGGATCAAAAAGTTGTGAAGTCTCGATTGCAACAGGGCACATAGCTCAGTCGGTTAAAGCATCGTGCTAATAACATGAGGGTCGACAGTTCGAGACTGTCTGTGGTCACTGCGTCCCGCGAGCCAAATGAATTACTCCATTCTTTATGACACGATGATTATAAAAAATTCAACTTCAAAAGAGATTTTCCGGAAAAAAACGCAGAAAAGCAGGAGTTTCTTCATAACGAATTTTAGAAGTCTTCGTCTTGAAGAAGACGTTTCGAAAAACATTAAAAAAAACAGAGAAGTTACAAGTGTCTCAGATATAAGATACTAGAGTTGTGAAACCCCAAGTACAGCAGGCCGCATAGCTCATTCGGTTAGAGCATCGTGCTAAGAACGCGAGGGTCGACAGTTCGAGACTGTCTGTGGCCAGTGCTTCCCACGAGAGAAAGAATTGATTTTATTTGTATGACACGACGAGAGACAACTCAACTTCTGACGGAAAACTTTCTGGAAAAAAACGCAGAAAAGCCAGAGTTTCGTCATAACGAATTTTAGAAGTTTTTTTTTGAAGAAGAAAACGTTTCGAAAAACCTCAAGTAAACAAACGCAGAGAGGTTACAAGTGTCTCATCAATAAGATAATAGAGTTGTGAAGTCCCAAGTACAGCAGGCCGCATGGCTCAGACGGTTAGAGCATCGTGCTAATAACGCGAGGGTCGACAGTTCGAGCCTGTCTGTGGTCAATTCTTCCAGCGAGCCAGATGATATAGTCTATTCTTTATGACAAGACGATTAAAAAAAATTCAATTTCTGACGAAAAAATTTCTGGAAAAAAATGCAGAAAAGCCAGAGTTTCTTCATAAAGAATTTTAGAATTCTTTTTCTGAAGAAGAATACGTTTCGAAAAACCTCAAGTAAATAAACGCAGAGAAATTACAAGTTTCTCATCAATAAAACCTTAAAGTTGTGAAGTCCCCATAACAGCAGGCCGCATAGCTCAGTCGGTTAGAGCATCGTGCTAATAATGCGACGGTCCACAGTTCGAGCCTATCTGTGGTCAATGCTTCCCGCGAGCCAGTTGATATAGTCTATTCTTTATGACACGACGATTTAAAAAAAATTCAACTTCTGACGAAAAAACTTCTAGAAAAAAAAAACGCAGAAAAGCCAGAGTTTCTTCATAACGAATTTTAGAAGTCTCTTTTTAGGAATAAGACGTTTCAAAAAAACCTCAAGTAAAAAATTGCAGAGAAGTTACAAGTGTCTAATCAAAAAGATCATAAAGTTGTGAAGTCCTCAGTAGAGCAGGCCGCATAGCTCAGTCGTTTAGAGAATCAGGCTAATAACGCGAAGGTCGACAGTTCGTGCCTGTCTGTGGTCAAGGCTTCCGGCGAGCCAGATGAAATAGTTTATTCTTTATGACACGACGATTTAAAAAAATCAACTTCTGACGAAAAACTTTCCGGAAAATAAAACGCAAAAAGCCTGAGTTTTTGTTAAGATGAACACGTTTGGAAAAACCTCAAGTAAACAAACGCAGAGAAGTTACAAGTGTCTCATCAATAAGATAATAGAGTTGTGAAGTCCCAAGTATAGCAGGCCGCATAGCTCAGTCGGTTAGAGCATCGTGCTAATAACGCGAGGGTCGACAGTTCGAGCCTGTCTGTGGCCAGTTCTTCCCGCGAGAGACAGAATTGATTTTATTTTTATGACACGACGAGAGACAACTCAACTTCTGACGAAAAACTTTCTCGAAAAAAAACGCAGAAAAGCCAGAGTTTCTTCATAACGAATTTTAGAAGTATTTTTTTGAAGAAGAAAAAAAAACGTTTCGAAAAACCTCAAGTAAACAAACGCAGAGAGATTACAAGTGTCTCATCAATAAGATAATAGAGTTGTGAAGTCCCAAGTACAGCAGGCCGCATAGCTCAGTCGGTTAGAGCATCGTGCTAATAACGCGAGGGTCGACAAATCGAGCCTGTCTGTGGTAAATTCTTCCAGCGAGCCAGATGATGACAAGACAATTAAAAAAAATTCAATTCTGACGAAAAACTTTCTGGAAAAAAAAACGCAGAAAAGCCAGAGTTTCTTCATAACGAATTTTGGAAGTATTTTTTGAAGAAGAAAAAAAAACGTTTCGAAAAACCTCAAGTAAACAAACGCAGAAGGGTTACAAGTGTCTCATCAATAAGATAATAGAGTTGTGAAGTCCCAAGTACAGCAGGCCGCATAGCTCAGTCGGTTAGAGCATCGTGCTAATAACGCGAGGGTCGACAAATCGAGCCTGTCTGTGGTAAATTCTTCCAGCGAGCCAGATGATATAGTCTATTCTTTATGACAAGACAATTATAAAAAATTCAACTTCAAAAGAGATTTTCCGGAAAAAAACGCAGAAAAGCAGGAGTTTCTTCATAACGAATTTTAGAAGTCTTCGTCTTGAAGAAGACGTTTCGAAAAACATTAAAAAAACAGAGAAGTTACAAGTGTCTCAGCAATATGATAATAGAGTTGTGAAACCCCAAGTACAGCAGGCCGCATAGCTCATTCGGTTAGAGCATCGTGCTAATAACGCGAGGGTCGACAGTTCGAGACTGTCTGTGGCCAGTGCTTCCCACAAGAGAAAGAATTGATTTTTTTTGTATGACACGACGAGAGACAACTCAACTTCTGACGGAAAACTTTCTGGAAAAAAACGCAGAAAAGCCAGAGTTTCTTCATAACGAATTTTAGAAGTTTTTTTTTTGAAGAAGAAAACGTTTCGAAAAACCTCAAGTAAGCAAACGCAGAGAGGTTACAAGTGTCTCATCAATAAGATAATAGAGTTGTGAAGTCCCAAGTACAGCAGGCCGCATAGCTCAGACGGTTAGAGCATCGTGCTAATAACGCGAGGGTCGACAGTTCGAGCCTGTCTGTGGTCAATTCTTCCAGCGAGCCAGATGATATAGTCTATTCTTTATGACAAGACGATTAAAAAAATTCAATTTCTGACGAAAAAATTTCTGGAAAAAAATGCAGAAAAGCCAGAGTTTCTTCATAAAGAATTTTAGAATTCTTTTTCTGAAGAAGAATACGTTTCGAAAAACCTCAAGTAAATAAACGCAGAGAAATTACAAGTTTCTCATCAATAAAACCTTAAAGTTGTGAAGTCCCCATTACAGCAGGCCGCATAGCTCAGTCGGTTAGAGCATCGTGCTAATAATGCGACGGTCGACAGTTCGAGCCTATCTGTGGTCAATGCTTCCCGCGAGCCAGTTGATATAGTCTATTCTTTATGACACGACGATTTAAAAAAAATTCAACTTCTGACGAAAAAACTTCTAGAAAAAAAAACGCAGAAAAGTCAGAGTTTCTTCATAACGAATTTTAGAAGTCTCTTTTTAGGAATAAGACGTTTCAAAAAAACCTCAAGTAAAAAAACGCAGAGAAGTTACAAGTGTCTAATCAAAAAGATCATAAAGTTGTGAAGTCCTCAGTAGAGCAGGCCGCATAGCTCAGTCGTTTAGAGCATCAGGCTAATAACGCGAAGGTCGACAGTTCGTGCCTGTCTGT